CAAATTAAAATAAAGTTACCTCTGGTTAGTTATTAACACTTCTTCTTTAGGAGACCCAAACCAAACCAAACAACAACGCTCACGTTTTGTCACCTTGGACTCTGTCAAAAAATAAATTGTTTTTCCAAGAAAGAAGAAAAAAAAATCAATTCACGTCTGTCCTACCAAATAAACCAATAATAAATAATTAGTGTGTACGCGTCAATCGTATCACAAGCTTTAAAATTTATAAAAATGCCATGTAACAACAAGAACTCCAACAAGAAAAGAATCCGAGGAAAAGATGGTGAAGAAGTAAAAGGGTAAGTGTTTTAAGTATGGCGGTGGTGGTTATCGTCCGCCACTCGTCGTCACTAGTTATTTTTAAAAGAATGGTGGTGGTTACGATCAAATAACATTTTTTTTAAAAAAATACCCAGAAAAGATATAGAAAGACCGAAGAAAAGAAGAGAGGATGAAATTGTCGCAAAAAGGCAAGTGCTTATCATAAGAATAGTGGTGATTGCGGCTACTTTGACTTATTTTCATTTCAATTATTTGAGAATAATGGTAATTTATATTTTCAGTGACTGACAAGCTTAAAATTATGTTTATTTTTGGAACAAAAAGAATCCCACTTTCAACATTACCATCACAAATATCGTCATTCGATACAACACCAAGAAGTCTATTAATATCATCAATACTTAGGAGCTTGAGGCATAAAATCAATACCTCAAACAAGACCATGAGTGGATTATTAATAAATGATAATATTATTGACTTATTCCATCACCGAAAATACTTATCAGATGGCGAGTACTCTTTTCTGAAGAAGCTTTTCACGATAGATTACAATATTGAAAAAATACAATTTGATTTGTTGGAAGAAATCGAAAAAATATACAAGTGTGATGACGAAGTAATATTATTTATTATTAGTACTAGGTTTCCCAGAATAGCTTAATTAATATTTTCATCAATTGCATTAGAAAATAAGGCCTGGAGAAATATATAAAAACCTGGGTATTATTAGAATCAATCATAAATTTTCAATTGACACCTTTTCAGAACGTCAAAAGTTGTTCATAATTTCTATGGTTGAAGATTTGTAACTGTCTATTTATTGTTAACTTACTAATATACAAGTTAGGCATAATTATAGATTATAAATAAAATTCACTAATCCTGTCAAATTATTTATATGCAATTAGCTTATTAAAGTTTCAGTTGGGTTTTTTCAAGTCTGATTTCATGAATGAAGCAAAATACGTGGTAGAGTTTTTTGGCCGTTTAACAATGGTTTTATCATTAAACTTAACAAACACATCGTGGTAATTATATTTTATGAACATATGTATATTTTTGTCAAAATTATAATATTTTTAAAATGACATTTTTTTATGTAGGGATTTACAGTCACCTTCTATGAAAGAAAAAATGAGAACTGAAAACCGAGACACCAGAGAAACAAATCGTCCAGATTTTGCTTTGATAAATAATTCTGGTTATGAATTAATTATGCTAGAAGTTGCAGGTTCTCCTGATGTTGATGATCCAGATAAACATAATTATGACGAGCTGAAGTTATCACACAATTTATTAGAATCCTTTAATTTCATCTTTGGGAGAGAAAAATACCTGTACCAGATAATTTAGTTTTAATTGGTTTATTGTCTAAGAATAATGAATTGGTGTTTAAAGGAATGATGAGATTTGATGATTTTTTGATCCAAAATCAATTATTTGTGGCTGAGGTTCCAAATGATTTCTTATTTTCTTTTGAGAAAATGAGAAATCTATTAACAAAGATGCTGATTGTATCGGTAATTATACTCATAACATTGTTTTATTATTTTATTAAGTTCATAATATAACTATTTATCAATTTCAAAATGTGGTACAAAAAGACTCTGATATTTTAATTTCTCAAAAAAAGAATTCTAAAGAAAGAAGCCCCCAAAGGCATCCCAGAGTACAATCACATCTCTTAAAAAAAAAAGTAAAAATTGTCTCAGGATGACAGTATATTTAACACCAATAAAAAATTAAACATTTGTCATGTTATGGTCTCTTTTTGTGCTTAGGCGTGTTTCGTTTTTGGCATGATCAACTTTTTCACCTTGTTTGGCCAATTTTACGTCATGTGGCAAATATTTCGTTTCTTAATAAGTGCATTTGCTTTTCTTTTGCCTTGCTTTGCTATGTCTTGTCTCGCTATGAAATTTGCAACACTGCATGCACTTCTACTCCCAATTTTTTTATTCGAAAAAAAAATCTGTTCTGAGAAACTTGATTGGTTTTGTTGTTAAAGAAATTGACCAATCCATTTTGATAAATTGGAAGAAAAAAAACGGACTTTTGTTTATATTGTTCCTGGTGATTTAATTCCTTTCTTAGAAAAACCAACAAATCTTTTTTGAAAATGATGCTTTGCCACCACCGCAGAAATCTTTTATTGTTTAAAAGATCAATCATCATAAATTGTGTGAAAATGATTAGCTTTTTTTTTGGTGTAATCGATTTGACAAATATCTAACTATATAAACAGAATAAGGCAAGAAAGACAAGAATTGTAATTTTTTGTTGAATAACGCTTATTTGTTATCAAAATCCGAACCATTTTATGGCTTTTTTCTTGTTGGCCACATTGCTGACAAAGATGTATATAATCATGCAATAATTTTAACCTACAGGACAGAGAACTGATTGGGCAAAAACCCAATCCAGTCCCCTACCCAAAATCATAAATTGGTTAGCATCAGAAAAACAGAGAATTTAGGAAAGTGATTATACAAAACAAACACTGTTTTACAACTTTCCTCTTAACATCAGAGCCAAATGTAATTTCAGGGCCACCAACCCTGCTCTGAATTATGACCTCCTGTGCTTGGAACGAGTTGCAGATTCTCTTAATATTCATCAGCAGAGTTGCAACTTGGTCACAATGCCATCTTTTCCTAGAGGTGGGATCGTTGCAGTTGACTTTTTGGCCAACATGCCAGCAGCCATCCCTGGTCTGGGAAGATTAGTGAAAGTGTCATTGATGATTAGTGCAGTCTCGGTAAACTCCAGGACCATGGGCCCCTCCCCTGGAGTTTGGTTGCATCATTGTATCATTGAGCGAAACTTGGTCAGATTAGCCTTATGTACACGAGGAAGGTGTGAGAATGACTGTAAAGTGTTCAAGGTAACGTGCGTGCTTCAACATCTAAAAATTTCCAATAATCAAACATTGCATACTCAAAATGTCTCTTTTTCAACAGTATGCTGCCTTGACATTTTGTAATTATAATATTATTATTAATATTATGGATTACGAAAAGCAAAATATCATCAATGAAAATCTTGTAATTACCCAGCAAGATCTGCTCTGCGTTTTGATTCCAATTAAAATGTTTATAATAACCAAAATAAAAATATCAATCATTACAAATAAAAAATAGTACCTCTGGTTAGTTATTAACACGTCTTCTTTAGGAGACCCAAACCAAACCAAACAACAACACTCACGTTTTGTCACCTTGGACTCTGTCAAAAAATAAATTG